CCCAAACACTGCTTGCGTGGCCGGGCATAAGCTTCGATATGCCCGCCCTTTCTTCTACCGGCAGCCAAGACCTCGATGGCGTAAACGCGCAGGCGCCGACGTCTATGATGGCTAGTACGATAGCCGGAGAGAGGCCAGTATCCGACCCGGCCTTACTAGAAACGGATATGATGAATTGGAGCACATGGGATGAATTTATATTGGAGACTTATGCAGATTCCACGCCGCCGTCCGGATCCGGACAGAGCGGGAATAATTAGCTACGGCAGAGTTTGTTAAACTGGCTGCCATGTATCAGTACTCAACGAGAGGTGGCCCGGGATATTGGCATCTTGGATATGCATGGCCTACGGAATTATGTAGCTCTACTCATACGATACACATCATCTCGCCCATGGCCGATATAAGCCCGTCATTTGGGACGACGGCGCAGTGTATAAAAAATAAGGAGTTCCGAACGACTCCCATTCCTGCTGGATTCTTGAACCACGTAATTCGGTATCGTCGTTCCCGTCATTCATATGAATACATCGGGACCATCCGTGACGTCGGTTTTTTTAAGTTTCATTCATTGACTTGGGCTCTATCTTCTTGAAGAGCTCTCATGCTGAATTGATTCATGAAAGATTTTCCGCAATTCCGTAGTGAACACCGGGCAAAGACCATTTCCCATAAACCTCCCATCCCACACATAACACGAGAAACCCCCAATTTATGCGAAGGTAGACGGGCGGGTGGCGCTGAAGATCTTCTTGTTGCTGATACGAGGGACACGGTGGGGAAGGGGGAAAGAGAGATCCTTCGTGATGAGTTGCTTGATGTAAGGGCGCTTGACGTCCTCGGACTTCTCGATCTCGACAACGCGGAGGATCTACGGTTTCCAGTTAGCTAGTGTCATCCCTGCGACCGTCCATTTTATGGAATTGCATACGTGAATTGACCTGAAACGGGCACGGTGGCGAGCAGCCATGTCCGAGTAGAGGGAATCGATGGCGTCTGTTCTCGAGAGCTCACGGTACTCCTTGTACATGTTGTGGGTGCCGGAGCGGGAGTCGTATCGGATCCAGATACCGAAGTTCTTGACGCGCAGAGGGTTCTTCTCGTGGATCTATCACAAACAGCACATCAGTGTCCAAACTATTTCCTGGGTTCCTCAACACCATTGGCTGTCTAGACATACCTTGTTCAAGCTGACAATCTCACCGTTTGCCTTCTTGACCTTCTTCAGCTTCATCAAGAAGTACCAGAAGCGGGACTTGGCGACAACCTCGTTAGGGGCGAAGATGCGCATGCGGTAGAGCTTCGGGGTGGGGTTAGCCTCGCTGGGGAGGTGGCGCCCGATGACCTGGTATTCCTGAAGGCGACCTGATAGTAGCGGGTTAGCTGACGGATCGTAAAATGATAGTACAAGCCGGCAGAACGTCTTTGGTGGCGAGAGACGTCGACAAGCGATGGTTCCAGGCGGGAGGCGACCCGAGGCGGAGGATGTTACGGTATGGTTCGGCGTAGTTCAGTGTCCCAGTAAAAAGTTACAGTCGAGATTGATTCCAAAAGCCCTTCTCAAGCATGTCTCCTGCCGTATTTCGCTCCATGAACAATTCTTCTTCTCAATCCAACTGTCGATCGGTACCCATGCACACGTAGACATTAGAGCATTGGCTTAGGCGTATCCCAATGCTAAGGTCGTTCAAGAATCCTTCGTAGCCTCTCGCTGGTCATCGTCGGGGTCGTCTTCGTCGACGTCGAATGTCGAGGGGTTCATTGCATGATCGGATGAAAAAGAAAATCGCTTACCCATCTAATATCAATGGCTGTCAGCAAACAAACAAATGCATACCACAGAATACAGGAATGGCAACTTACTGTGACTTGAATCCGGTCCTGTTGTCGTGGAGGTTAGTATGAGGTTGCAAAAGATCGCGGATGCGTGTAGTGGAGGCTACTTTGGGGCACGTCTTCGGCTACGAGAACTTTTTGCGAAATTCTGTGCTGAGGGTTTCCCGCCCTAGCAAAGCAGTGGACCCGATTGGGAGGTGCTGTGGCTAGAAGACGGGGCGTGGGATTGTGGCTGCATGTATAAATTGTGGGGATGTACATTGGTACCTAAGAATCTTGGATGGAAATCTTGGACCGTGCACCGTCGTTTGTCGCTGCTTGAATGAGCCAATCAAAGCGGACCAGCCTGGGTACCTCTGTGAAGCTCTCTCTTCATTAATCTCAAGCTTCCAATAAATCCATCTCATCAAACGGCAAGACAGCGATATCAAAGTTGTATGGATTGACTGTCAAGCACACATTGAAAATCTCGAGCTTGTGGAAGTTGATCAAGACTGAGTACCGTTGGCAGTCCTACACTCAATCCAATCATGGACAGCCTGATTTATCAGTTTCGAGCAGCATATGCTGCTACGAATGGCGAACAACTGGCCGAGACCCTAAAGCCGGATATCCAGGCCCATTCAGCAAGGCTACAAGCGATATGGGAACGTGGGGATCCCCGGACGATGACATCCGATCTTAACTTTCTTTTCTATCAAGACCAAGCCCGCCTCAGTATCAGACTCTCTAAGGAAGAGACGAGCGGTTGGCATGCTATTTTCAGTGCCTACTGGAAGGCCATAGGAGAGATATTAGCCGTCGAAGGCTTGCGGGATGATGGCCACGTAAGTCGGACTCGTCAATATCCCTAGCTAGCTCGGATCATTCCTGAGGGCTTACCCTTATTCCATGCGTGAGCCACGGCACTTTACGCTAACTGGGCCAAGTCATCTTGGGCTAAGGTATACGATGCATGGAAAGAGTTCACGTTGCTTGTCATCAGGGGATATACGAACCATGACTTTGAAAACTGGACCATTCCATGCCTCTACGTCGCCGGGAAATATCTAAGACTGTATGCCATGCGGGCCGATGCTGAGAGGAGCCTGACAAGTGATGGTACCGCCATTGACGACCTGAGAGATGATTTCGATCCGCAAGCGGAGGAGCATAAGAGTCTCGAAGATTGCGCAAGACATCTAAACCGGATCTTCCAGGTCTGCGTCTCTGATAGGTGACTCCCCTTCAGTGATCAGCTACCGACTGCGATTGCTGCTAATATGAATCAGGGCTCCTTTGGAAGAATCTCGCAAGTGGGGTGTCTATTATGCTGTTAATCTTTTATTCAAGACCTATTTCAAGCTCAACTCGGAGCCCCTGTCCAAGAACATCTTAAAAGTGATTTCGGCTAGTCGAACCGACCTCCCTCCAATCGACAAGTTCCCTGCGTCGCAGCAAGTCACTTTCAAATATTATGAAGGTGTTCTCTCTTTTCTAGAAGAGAATTATGTCGAAGTATGCAATAAATCAGATCCTTTGTAGACGGCGACTAATGGAACTTTAGGCCGAGAAACATCTCGAGATGGCCTGGCTGATGTGTCATAAGAACGCGCGACGGAATCTCGAGTATGCATATTCATATCCCTGTAGCATAATACGCTCTCTGACCTTTTCACAGGCTTATACTCACTTATCTTATTCCGTGTCGATTATTAACGACACACACGTTACCTAGTCCCAAGCTTCTTGAACCATTTCCACGCCTGCAAAAGCTATTCACGCCGTTGGCTCGTGCTATCAAGAAAGCTGACCTACGAGCATTTGATATCGCCCTACGCGACGGCGAAGATGAGTTTATAAAACGACGCGTGTATTTGACATTGGAGCGTGGGCGTGACATTGTCCTACGTAATTTATTACGCAAGGTATTTACAGCCGGCGGGTTCGAGGAGGCTAAGGACGGAGCAGCACCTTTACGGAGAACCAGAATTCCTATTACCGAATTCACAGCAGCCGTGCAGATGAGTAGTGGAGAGGCTACAGACGCGGATGAGGTCGAATGCCTCATGGCCAACATGATATACAAGGTACGTCTTAGCCATATTTCATGCGTGGGCCACGTCACCGCTTTCTATGTTCAAATATCCCAGGGCAGAACCTCGCGCTTCGTGATCTATTGACCCGAAAGAGGACTGAGTCACTTTCCCATGACCAACCATCCCCGCCAAGAACCTCCAATCACTCGCTGAAGGTCACGTCCCTCTGTCGCAATCTGGCTCTCTAGTATTTTACGTGGCGTGCACATCTAACATTGAAACTTAGAATCTCATGAAGGGATATATTGCCCACGAACGTGGATATGTCGTCTTAAGCAAGTCTGGTGCCTTCCCAGGGACCAAAGTATAAGTCGGAAAAGAAGGCCAACCAGAAGGAAGCACAGATGCATATAAGAAGATACGCCGCAACAGTAAGGATAGAACGCAATACACAGCTGCTGTTGTCACTAATAGAAATCATAGGTGTTTAATACATATTATCGAGCAGCCTTGCACGGGGTCTCAGTTGGAGTCATAGCGAAAACATGGCGACTAGTGTATGGAAGACGAAGTATAGGCGGATAGCCGTCGCGCAGGCAGGTATGTAGTCATATTGCCGCCTAGCTTTGAGCAGACGGGGATGAAGAAGTAGGGCTGTCGGCCTACACAAATCACGCATCCTCCTCGTCGGCACATGCACACAATGAGATGCAACATAGCATTCAAGGCTACCTAACTGGCTCGTACCGACGGGGCCACTCAAAGTGAAGTGGTACCGTAGATATCAATAGAATATGCCAAAGTACCACCATCTCCCTATTCAAACTAAATAGAGCAGGTGGCATAATTCCTGCGTAGCGTAGTACCTAGGTATTAGCTGTGATGACTCACGGAATGAATGTCTTGTAAACCTCGCCGCATCCCCGCTCCATGAGTCCTTACGGACAAAAATAGCGGTAGCGTCGCATGCGGGATCAGCATACAATCACAACTATAGAACTTAGCGAAATAGCAAGTAATACAGCCCGTACGTTTGACGAATACAACATCGCTAGAAAAAGAAAAGAGAGCATTGGATTTTGACTGATGAACATCCGACCACGTGAAGAGGAAGGGTAGCAAAAATAAGACGTCCGATAAAAAATGGGGCTCAACCGGGATTCGAACCCGGGGCCTCTCGCATACTCGAGGTTAGACCCAAAGCGAGAATCATACCACTAGACCATTGAGCCGATCGGTGTTAGGTATTTGCCGAGGGCACTAAAGCAGATTATGACTGTACACCTTTACGTTTTCCGACCGTGCTTCAGCTCGGATCATCCATCATCTATCTATTACTCATGCTTTCGCAAGCGACCCGGGTGCAGATTTCACAACAAAAATTGAGCTGGGTAGCTAGGGAAGCAAGCCCATGTATGGGAGAAAGGAGGGAGTCCCCTGCACATTCCATGATCAGGGCACATGGAGCTGATTCAAATAGTATATACAAGAACGGCAATCAATCTCTTGTCATCATCCATCAATGTTGCATCCCCTCGAAGCCATTATTGCTTCTTCCACATCTTCTCGTTTCCTCAGATCCCTTCAGAATGCCAAACAATAGCGACGGCTGTTCGTCCTTTACCCTCGCCTCCCCCTTCATCGTGGGGAAAGCATAGAACCCTGGTGTGAATGATAGTCTAGAAGTGTAATGATACATGTTTTGTCATTTCGTGGAAAGAAAATGAAAAGAAGAGAGGAATCGCGGTGGAAAATACTGAAAGAAGTTGAAAGATCCATCAGTCTTGCAGTCTGTGTGCCCATCCATCCAGTATTCTTCGAAAAGGCCGCGGTCGCATCCGCCTACCTCGGCATACCCGTATTTTTCTGCATTTCTCGCAATATCTCCCAGATAAGACTGGGCGAAGAAACACAGTAATTCAAGAAAAAACTTACAGACCAACGACGGCGAGGTATTATTGCTCGCATTTGCATCTCCAAATTGAAAAATGGGCCAAATCATGTTGATACAAGACGTTGTGAAATCGATGTCCAAGAACGCCGAAAAGCAAACCCCACTCGCGCGGAGACGAACACCAAAACGCCGGGATATGGTCTGCAAATGAGAAACGGGGCGTAGACTAAAATAATAAAGAGAATAAACGAATCCTCTGAGTGTTCCCGAACCATCCGGACAGGGACGATGGGCAAGATACTAAGAAATAGCGTTGATCATTGAATGTGCGGCCCACGAAACAGATGACAGGGGTGATAAAAGTCCGCAAATGGTGAGAATGCAACCGAAGACGACGAATGAGACGACGGTCGAAGGAATACGACAAAAGAAAGAGCGGGACGAGTGCTTAGAAGAAGTGCCGATTGCTCCGTGGCGTATTCCTATAAGGTTGACATCAGTGAGAAAGTATGGGGCCAAAGCGGATATGCTAGACACTTACGAAGCACTGGAGATATCGTCAACATGATTACATAAAGCAACGAAGAGATCGAAGAACAGCTGGGTCCCGCCGTTAAACATCTCTAGCTGCATGGTGCCACTGCGCTTGAAGGTGCTGCGGCTACGGATGATGAGAGCCAGATAATGGGCTCGTAGCTTAGAGTCGGTGTCAGGAGTGTTATTGTATGCATAACGGGCTGATGTCAGTATAGTGCTGCACTGGATGCCGGACTCTGTCGCCACTCTAGTCAGCAAGTCTGCCAAATAACGATCAGAATGAGGGGAGGTAGACTTACGAAGGCCTTGCTTTCGCAGCGCGACACGCTTGAGTTCTTCCATTCCGTACTTATCAGCCGTGCAGTAGATGACGGTGTCCTTGAGAATATCACCATCGGTGGCATGATGATATATGGTGGTCTCGCTAGGTCCCCGCTCCTCGTCGAGCTGTTCAATCTCCCACGAGTTGCGACGCTTATTGTGGACTAATCGCGGGTAATAGTCGCCCTTGTAGAGGTACTCGAGGATGGACGAAAAGATCTCCGGCTCATCATCTGGCAGATGGATACGTTTGCCAGTCTGCGGGTCCATGTATTGCTCCGCCAGAGCCTGTTGAAACCATGGCGATGCACTCAACACATCTTCATGTGCTGCGAAGATACGCTGCTCCCGGCCGATGACGAGGGTTACAATAGACGGCGTTAAGTTTCTATAGGCAAGGAAAATGTCAGAACTGAAGATATTAAGGGGGAAAGAGCGACAAGATGAACTGATAGTTTCGTACCCTTCTGGTGGTGACACTGTTGCGTCTATGTGTTGAGACATTGACGTTGTCAGGCGACGGCGGGGATCATGTCGAGTCTTGGTGATGCCATTACTCTTGCTGAAAGACGAAGTCGACTTGCTCGATCTGTGAGCCTTGGAAAAGCTCTTGCTCAGAGGCTGTTCGAAGCGTTTGCTGTACATGTTGAAATGATAGATGTGGGTGTGTGGATGATTTTACGTGGTGATTTGTCAATCCCCGACCGAGCGACCGATGGATAGGCTGATGGATGGTTTGGGAACGGGGATATCAGGAAACGCCTCGGTCGCAAATGAATCCTGACTCGAGTCTTTGAGGAAACAAGTCCCAACTCGATATTGGAGAAAAGCGATCGATTGTCATGCGATCAAAAGTGATGAAAATGGATGATGGAAATTAAAAGACTAAAAAATAACGACGATGAAATGGGATGCTTTTTGCCTACCTGTCGAAGCCCCTTCAGCTGGAAGAGATAAAAGAGGAGAAAATTTTGGGGGGCCACCCTCATTATATAGCGGGAGACCCATGTCGGGCAAGGCGACACTGCTGCGTGAATGCCTGCGGTAGTAATAAAATGCAGCCGGTATCTTCAGGCAAACACGCTTTAGGAACGATGGATGTTGGCCCACGCGTCTGCCAGGACGGGATACTTGCACGAAATCACCTGACTCATTAAACTCATAATAGGACTAGCGCCATTCACAGCCCAGCTCTGTTTCTCCGAAGTTGGCTGTGATAAGCCTGGGCTAGAAATCCATAGCGGAGCAGGCACTCGAAGGGTTGCCCAGTGCAGAAGCCCAGTGGGCTGGATAGCGGGGGTCTAATGGGTTGCAGGGCGAGCTTACAGGGGTTTTTACTTGCCAAGCCAGCCGGCTTACAGGGATTAACATGCTGTTCCGGAAGCTTCCTGCATCATCACAAAAAGCAAAGGGGCCAGCTGCCCATATTTTGTACCTACATTTGTGATGGTGATCCCCTTTCTCCTAGAGGCTCTCAATTTGCATTTTATCCTTTAAGCTTCCTGACCTGGACTATTCCTGTGACCAACTATGTAGGCAGACATCAATTGCCCAAATAGATTGCCTCAATGCAGCATTGGTCCTACTCCTACACAGCATTTGTATGTAGCTAGGAGGGAGGGAAAATAGGTCCAAGTGGTGCTAGCTACAAGCCATCTCTGAACTGGATCGGAGTCATGACCCCATGAGATTTTAGTCTCAGGGGAAAACCTGGCTCAACTGAGTGTGATTTTCAAGCCGCAAATACAGTATACAATTAGGAATGCAAACAGGAAGTCTTGATGCTCCCCAGTCTTAGTCTTCAAAGGCAGACATGCAGACATGGCATCGCACATCATTTGATTGTTCTTTTCTGCTTGGAGCAGTACAATCTCTATTTATTCAGAAACGCCAAGCATGGATTAATCCCATATTCATAATGACGAAAATTCCCCATGTATATGCATCTCCTCTAGAATCCGCTGCACCATTGGAACTCACTCACTACCTACCCGGCGATTTGCATGCTAAGGTATCATGTCCTGATGCGAGTGGGTCGCAGTAATTGCAGCGACCTAGGTTACAGCACAGTATCTGTATGCAGTGAGCCTCCACCAAAACTTGGTCTAGGGTTTGTCGATGTGTCTCACTTGTGCCATTGCAATGGCAAGCAAAGGCTTGAATGGGTGTGCACGCCAGACTCGGCTTCTTGTTAAGATAAGAAGCTGTCTTGGCCTCGCAACGGAATGACACCACTAAATTCTTAGCTATTTTTACATGAGCAACGCTAGCTCTTAGTAGCCCCCTATCAGCAAGCTGAGCATTGCGTGAATTACACAGACCTGACAAACGGCGAACACATCATGGAAATACAGGCGAAGAGGTACCCGGTACTACCTGCTCTTCAATTTAGATCCCTGCTAGGTGTCTGAGAGAGCCTAAGACCCCGTGTATGTACCTGCCTGAGGTAGTACCTACCCAGAGGTACAAAGTACATCAATCCAAGATGTGCCATCAATCTGGCAGGTAGGCATGCCACCTGAACTTCCTTTTTGCCTCACTTCCCTCGATCAGTCAATTCTCACGAGTTCACAGCACAAGGACGCAGGTGTCCCCCTTGGCAGCAAAAACCTCAAACAGTGTACCTCAATATCATTTAAACTCCATAAAACTGAGCTTCTCAGCAACATGGCACCTTTCATGCATTATTATATCTACCAGTACTACTACTGGTACTCCATAACATCGATCAACCCTCCCATGTCCTCACATGGCCGTCTTCATGATGACAATAGTGATAGCCCAGATGTGCAAGAGACACAACACTTGCCCTAATATATCGATATCTTTCCACTGCTGTACTACCAATGTTGAGCACCATTAATTCAGTCGCCCTGATTCCTTCCCTTTCTGTTGATCATAGGAAAGCAGCCCGGATCCTGAACGATGCCATATTCAGAGGCAGTCTCCAAGACCTATCCGCATATCCATCCCATCGTCCCACTGTTGCTGCCAACAACATGATTGTAGCAATGAGAGGCTCATAAATGCTGGCAACTGGACTCAGGGTGACAAGCAGAATGCCAGACGTATATGTCAATACGCCCTGCTGCTACCTCTTGTAGCAATAACTGTGGGAGCTCTAATATCTCTCCCAAGCCTCCGTCTCGCTCGGAGGCTCCAGGCCAAAAGCCTCGAAATTCGCCGCACATCCCGTAGCTAGGGGCCGAGGAGGGGACTTATTGTTCTTAGTCTTCTTGGCTGCCTTCGCTCCCGAGCAATCACTACTAACAGTCGAGCTCTCATCCTTGGCGTTCAACTTGTTGGACTTGTCCGTTGTGTTCATCTCCTCGTCATACTTATCGAGGTCAACGGGAATCTCGTGATACGGGGAGATATCGCGGCGGCATGGCTTGTGCCTGTGGTGCGGGGACAGGTGGTTACGGCCGCTTCTGTGAGACCTTTGATCCCGCATCGCGGCCCACCGCTGGTGCCAGTGACAGTAGCCTCTGTTGCTCTACATCAGAGATGTCTGGACTGATTGGCACCGCGGGTCGGATCTTCCATATTGGCACTCCTCGAACCTGTGCTGCAGCTCGCAGGAGCAGTCTTCGAAACGGAGGTAGACCTGGATACACATTTTCTTGCGCGTGGGAGGAGAAGGTCCTTGGTTGATGTAGAGAAGAGCCAAGCTGTCTGCTTCTTTGATTGATGGAACTTGAGCTCTAGCCTGTTGAGGAAGCGGAGATGGAAGCTGCAGGAAGAGGTAGGTAATGATCTGGTCATGCATTGGGTCAGCCCTGGGCAAGAGATGCTTGTCTGTTGTTGCATGGGAGGATGCATTGAGGTGTGGACTTTGGTATGGTGTACAGGAGAGCCTCCATGAGGGCTCGAGGGTACTTACCTGGTTGGTGAAACACTCGCCGAGTATGATTCTCTCATGAAGCAAGTGGAGGGTAGGTAGTCTTCACGGCTTCTGTAGTGTTGGCCTTGCTTTCGGAATTAGCTGCTAAGTGATGACAGAGGACTAGGTAGAGATAGATTTTGCGGTATGAAAGTGAGGGGTGTTGGGGAGTGAGGTCAATGTAGACTTGGAGGGAGGATGCAGTTGATATAAATAAGGTGAAGGTATGCACGTGAATAAACTTGCATTGACGACTTGCCTACCTCATGCAGTTTTTATAAGTACAGGACCTTACAAGCAGCGGGTGCTTGAATGGCAAACAACTGCACAATGAATGAATGGAGGACGCCCCCCAAGTCAGAATTTTCACCTCAAGATGGTCCAAGCGGGCTTGTGCAATGATGTCTCAGCTGGGGGGTCGGTCGCATTCACTATTCCCTTGAAGCAGGTAAAATACCTAGGCACCGGGGGTCATGAATAATGGGAATTGATTTGCCGCTAGACTGTAAGAGAGGTCATTGTTATTGTTTCAAGCTCTACTCCTCCCTAGACACCTACACAGAGGAAGTGTGGCAATACCAGATCTGCCATTCATATCTGAGGAAACACAATATACCCCTGTACTATCCCACAGGCGCAGACAACAGATCCCCCCATTCAAGTTCCACCACATACATATTTAGAGGACTTGTATGGGATTAGCACCCACAGACGCTAAGTGACTTGATACTTGATTGTTTGCTGCATGGGCATCTCGTGTTGATGTCCGTCCATAGGCTCAATCCCCGATAATTGGGTGTTTTAAAGGCGAGGCTACGCTTTTCTGAACTACCCCGCCTCCCCCACCATGAAAACATGGCCTGGATAATCCATTCACACACATTGAATCCAATTCAGTGTTTGACTGATCACATAGTCCTAGGCATTCCTATATCTTTAGTTGCCTTGTACTGATTGAGGACTGTGCGCTGAGTTCAATGAGTCCCTAGGCCCTAGGTACTAGGCTGATCAGTCATTTTGCAAGTTTGGAGGCCAGGTTCACATCCCAACCACACTTGCATTTGTTCATGGGGTTGGACAAGGTCAGCTCCGGAGGAAATTCACACATCCACACAGGGGCAACTAGCAGATCACATGTGCAAGGCTGAGAATAGACTGAAGGGATTACCTCTATCTGAGCAGGCTGCTGAGCAGGCGCATCCTCCACTGAGCTGCAGCTGTAACTGATGATGTTGGTGTGAATGTGGATGTGGACAAAGCTTGTGTGCAGCTCCACCAACCATGCTTACACCACCCACCTCTGATTGCGGCTAACCCCTCCCAAACATTGCAATAGCTCCCATTCTTTACATAGTGGTAAAAAATAAAATAAAATAAGATAAAATTGTTGGTGTTTTCCACTTAGTTTTTGCAAAACATTGGACGAACGGGGAATTGAACCCCGGACCCCTCCCATACAGCCACTGAAAGAAGATTCAGACAATGCGAAGGGAGTATCATACCCCTAGACCATTCGCCCGGTTATTTTTTGTGGAGAGCTGGTTAAGCGGCGCACGGTTTTAATCCAGATCGAGTAGAGACGGAAACAGAGACAAAGGATAAAAACTAGGCAAGCCAATGTGTGTGTGTGACTGATCCTGTCTGTAATGCCCTCACCACCTCGCCTGTGCTATGCTAGCAAAAAGTGAACTGTGTTGCAAACCAAGGAAAAAAAAAACCCAAGACCTGACAATACAGCACAGATAATACTTTCACGACTAGGGCCTGATTCGAACAGACGCTCCCGAAGGAAGTAGATGACGAAAAGTCCATTCGAGTCTACCGCGTTAACCACTCCGCCACCTAGCCGATTATTGTTCCGTTCCAGCCCGGGGCTGTGCATTATACCCGGACGGAGTATCTCGGGCTGCATGGTCTATAAGGATGCCTTTTAGGTCGGCTGTCAACACATATCAATCTCGATTGGTCTAGTGGTAAGGATACCTGCTTGTCATCATATGGCAATTCGCAGGTGGCCGGGGTTCGATTCCCCGATCGAGAGGCCTTTGTTTTTGCCATCTGCGACAATTCTTTTTCCCCCATCCCCTGATTCCATCCATCCACATACAAGGAACACTAGATGAATCCCTCATTTTTCTTAAATCACCTTTTTTCTATGCATATCCAGCTAGCTAGTGTGGTAAGCAAAGGATTAAAAAATAGTAAGAATTTATTTGAGCCTCTAATTAAAGACATAAGTGATTATAAAAACAGTCGAGCAAAAATGTCTATAATAAATGTGGGCATGAATTCAGCGAAAAATCCCTCTCCCAATGAAAGAAGTGCATTAGGAAGCCACCCGAGCTAGAGAAACAAATGCTTTCTGGCCTCGGAGCACTCAACAAGCCAAAACACCAAAAGTTAGCGAGTCGACTACTCGATCCTCTTCTTTCCTTCCTCTGCATTGAGGTATCTCGCGGTGCTGAGTCCACGCTCGTGTCCCGCGACAAAGGAACCGATCCCTTTGCCTTTTCTGACCTTTCCGATCGTCTCTAAGTAGCCTTCTGTAGCCCACGGTCGGGGATTGAGCTTTGGCCAGTTCACCTAAGACCAGTATTAGTACGTTGGATCGAGTCAAGTCAAGTTGAGTGCGTTATCACTCACATAGAGCATGCCGTTCTGGATGATGAAGTTCAGACACCAACCACCCACTATCAACCAGAAGAGAATGAATAGACGCATTGGCAGTACAGTAGAGTCCGGGAGCCGTTTGCTGAATAGACCTAGGAAGACGAAAAATATGCTGAAGGCAAGGATGTAGGGGATGCTCTGGATAATGATCGGTCTGCGATCGGCAAATATGGGCGAGGAGCCGATGTTGGCTGTGTTGGGCTCATAAGCACCCAGAAACAGGTCGTAAGCATCTTGTCTAGGCCCATCTCGGAAGTTGTTTAGATAGTATCGAGTCACGGCGATATTGCCGTCTTGTAAAGTCCCTTGTTTGGTACGCTTGCCCAAACGTGTAAGGTCCGTTTTCATAGCACCGGTGCCGGCGTACGCTTTGGATACCGTGTCGGCATTGTCTGCCCACAAGTTGCGGAAGAGAAATTCGAAAGCTGGATCGGCAGTGGCAAAAGTCTCGCCTCGTTGAAGCAAACCCAGGTCTACGAATATACGGTCCAGAGTCCACCTAGCCAGCATGCTCTGAACAACATTTGTCCGGTCAAGCGAATCCATGCAGTTCGTCCGTACTACGCTCGTCTGGAAGTTTCTAGTTTCCAGCCCACCGTTTGCAGGCATGTCGACGCCTCGGAAATATTGTTGTGCTATTAATGCGTCGTGCAACCTGTCGACGAGCATCATCGCGCGATGCATCTGGAGCCCCTTGGTCTCGTGATGAAAATCAAAATAGACGTAGTGCAGACGGTCGAATTCTTGCTTGGAGGTACTAGGCTCGATGATACGGAACTTCTCGTCGGTGAGAAGGTCTTTGGCGACCGTCTCTGTTTTTGAGCTCACAAGCATTTCAACCATCTTTTCGTAGGCTTCCTTTATGCGTTTTTCGCGACCTTTTTGATTGACGAGGTTGACGAGGTAGTTGTCACCATATATGCGGATCTGTTCATCAAAATGTTTTTTGGCAGCGGAGAAAGCCGTCTCGATTCCGCGGACCTGGAGTTTTGGCGTGTACTTAAGAGCGTTGATCTCCGACCAGTAGACGGGCACACTTCCTCGAGTCTGGACGTATGACATGATCTGCATCTCCCGCCCATCAGAGGCCCCAAACTTGCCACTCTGCATGTCGGCGCTTCCTGCGAAGCCTCCCAGACCACCGGCTGTGTCGTTCAAGATCACGACTTGCTCGGTTTCATTATAGTTGGCGGCGTGTCCTTCTTCGTCGATACCCCTGGTGAAATATCTAGTACCAGCTCGATATCGCGATTTTCGAGTGATGAGAACAATGGTCAAGGGCGTCCCCTTAAACTTGGTCGGTCGTATTTCCATGGTACCCCATATCAATGGTAGGATGAAAGGGTCGACGGCGGGCTGCGGACCTTGTTGGGATCGGCTTCCCATCTTTCGGAAATCAATTAGGTCGGTCTGGACAAACCTGTTCCAGAAGAAGCGATCGTCGGCGCGCATCCAGAGAGGGGCAGAGTTGTCGAGAGACGCCTGCCTCTGGAAGCTGTTGGTGAGGTCGATCGAATAGGAGAAGTACATGGGCCCGGTCATGATGAAGGATTTCAAGAGGAAAAGGAACTGGTTCTCGTCGGGATCGTGGATCGGACGTTTTCGCACCGGCAGGAATTCTGTCGAGATGACCTTGTACACCATGTGCCCCTTAAGACGGCCCACGGGCTGAGCCTTCGTGATGACCACGACATACTTGTCTATACTCAGTTGGTCAGATATGAAGTTCGGATTGTGTTGAAGAGGAGTCCCTACCAAGCCTCAGTCGAATGACACCCAGGATCCCGGCTATGCTAGAGACACGAGCGGTACGCTTATTGTTCACGGAGGCCGTTTCGCTTAGACGGACATCGCCTGTCGGCCTGTCGATGGTGAGGGCTGGGGCATTAGGTGAAGAGGGGGAGGTGAAGATGTATGAATCGGGGGTGACATGGAAATTAATATCCCGGTATGGAAGCGTCATGTTGGGCCACGAAATAGAGCAGACCGGCGCACATTCATAGCTTTGAGGATGGAGAGGCCCTGGAGTGGGTTGGTGGGCTCGGACTTGACACGATTACAGCGTAGATACCGAGGTGGTGACCAAAAAAAATGGCAGACTCTACCTACACTTCTGTATGTAAAGTCTGACGTGTTTTTTGGCTACCGCCTCGGATACTCCGTCAACCTGGGAGCCTTGAAAGATGGTATGGCAGGGAAATCCAGAGCACTCGAGCGGTCGTCGCACTTTGAATTTGGTGGTAGGCAGCAAGTAAATGATGATGGATCGGGCAGTCTGGACTGAGCTCCTGAAATCGTGGTGGTATGGGAAAAGCAGGTGTCATCATACGTAAGTACCTATTCTTATAAGCCGCATACAAAGTGACTTTGAGACGAAGTAGACTTTGAGCATGCATACAGTCAGGTTCCCAGGCCTAGACCCCACCATACGTAGGTACTTACATAGTCAGCTCGAAGTACCTATATTGACACTCACTAATACCGAGAATTCATGTATTCATCTACATGGAGTACAGCGCCTCTTACGGTGCGAATCACCGCCCCACTCTACGGTATACCGCAGATCTTGCTGCCACCTGACCTTCAAGCCAGGTCATGGCAAAAGGGTGATATAGCGAGCGGCCCCCCTAACGGCCTGCTAAAGTCAGCCACTCACCACTCCGCTCACGCTGGAACCGTCAAGCTTTCCCTGGTCATTTCATTCATCAAATGTCTAGGCAGTCACCGAAGTTATACCCCCGGCATCTCTCCCAACACCATCATTTCGCCTTACCGCCATCAAACCACCAGTATCTACCTTGTCATATCACCTCCTCTTCCTGCGACGCTTGTCCTTTGCAACCTATCCTCCGTCGACATCCGTGCTCAGCTCCTTTCCGAGACGATACCTACGGCGAAGCCCCCCCATCGGCCTCCTTTGACGTCCCCCCCGATCCGTGACAACCGCGCAGCCAGCATCTGCGCCCTACTCCGTTATCCACACCCCATATCTTCTCGCAATGGCTTCTCGGACGGGGCCTGCTGCTGGTCGCGGCTTGAATACTCGCTTTGCACAATTTAAACTGGTCTTGTTGGGTATGCTTTTCCCCCGCCGCTTCTGTGCTGCCGGCCACCACTGACGCACGCCCAGGAGAGTCCGCTGTAGGAAAGGTAACGGATATGACACCGATGCCAACCGGGGATTTCGATAGAGCTAATTTGTTGTCCGGATCAGAGCTCAATAGTGCTGAGATTCGTTAAGGTATTTATGAACCACTCAACCATATCAAGTATCATAGGTTATGAAGATCGGTCTCTCACGCCCATCGCCGTCTAGGATCAATTTGACTCATACAGAGAATCAACCATCGGCGCCGCCTTTCTCACACAAACCATATCTCTCGACGAAAGCACCACCGTCAAGTTCGAAATCTGGGATACCGCCGGCCAGGAGAGATATAAATCGCTGGCTCCCATGTACTACCGAAATGCCAACTGCGCTGTAGTTGTCTATGATATCACCCAATCCGTATGTGCTCCGTCTTACAACCGGGTAGGTGCCGTGGCTCGGCTAACCCCCAGGGATTATAGGCATCACTGGACAAGGCAAAGGCGTGGGTTAAGGAGCTACAACGACAGGCAAATGAAAACATCATCATCGCGCTCGCCGGAAACAAGCTGGATCTAGTTAACGAACAGCCTGACAAGCGTGCAGTGCCGACGGCCGAAGCGGAAGCATACGCCAACGAAGCCGGTCTCTTGTTTTTCGAAACCTCAGCTAAGACGGCGGAGAATGTGCAAGAACTGTTCACCGCCATCGCGAAGAAGCTCCCTCTGGATCAGGTCGGCCCCCGCCACACCCGGCCTGGTCAGCGACCAGGTGGTGTCAGCCTAGGACCAGCCGAGGGCAGGGATACTCAGGCAGGCGGACCTTGCAGCTGCTAGGAACGTCTCCTAGCTAGCATCGCGGCACATTGGGCTACGATGGCGGGAGGGATAAGACTTGTCGTCTCTTATTATCCGTACTACTCATCATCCAGCGTGCACTTTGTCATCTCGCCTGCCGAATTGCCGACTCCTCGCCGTCTACCAGCAGAGAGACGTCGAAAGTAACCTTGCAAGACCACCCACCGTCTGAAAAGTCGAGGCGTGTGAGGTGTCATGTCTGCGCGCATGTGTGTATAGGCGGAGATTGGTAT